ATATACCCAAGAAAATTCCTAAAAGCCACTTCAGTAAGATTCTTCTATACTTTTAGATGGTTTAAAAGAGAGTAACTCCGGAGATTATCATCAGCCGTTGCTGCTTAGACCATTAAGCTTAATATTAGTGAGTAGGATTTAGTGCTATATATGAGCTGATGCCCAGGAAGAAGGCATTTTGTTGACACGTGAAAGGAGCAAAGCACGGAATTAACCATTTTTGTCTATTTTTTTTTTCTTTTAAAACAGGAAAGATGCAAAGAACAATGACGTGTCCTTTTCTCAAATTAAGTAAGTGTCTAGAGTTATGGGCTTTATTTTAAGACATTTAATCCATCTGTTCAGTGACTATCTAGAGAATATTTTGATGGAACTTTCTTTCATTTTTCCTGATTGACGCATTTGGCCACAATCATCCAGAAGTTCTTGCTAGCTTTGTTGTTCTACAAGGAATCTATGTTTATTAGTCGCTTGCCGCTAGCTTCCTGCTGTGGCAGGTGCAACTATACTTGCAATATTCTACCAATAAATATATATTGTGTGATTTAAAGAAAAAGATTATCCAGATCTATGTTGTCAAAATCCAAAGTCACAAAGCCAGTCAGTTACATCACAGGTTCTAGAAGTTGGATTTCCCAATGCGTATTTTAGAGTTTTGTAAATAACATTACACCAACTCCTCCCTCAACTTTCCCCCAAGTTATGTTATACTTTTTCTTCTTTTGGAAGGATGTTTACTATCATCTCCAGAAGCATGATTGAGTCATTTTTTCTAATTTGTTTTCTTTTCTTTCCCTTTTTATGATGAAGACCTAAAAAGTGAGTAAGCTCTGCTTTTTTCTTTTTATAACTTGTATTTTACTATTTTGAGTGTGAACTTTATCAAATATAAAGAAAATCCTAATACATGGCTTTGTTTTCTTAGATCCAAGTTGATCAGAGTGGAGAATTTTGAAGCCTATTTTAAGAAACAGCGAGCTGACTCCAACTGTGGGTTTGCAGAAGAATATGAAGTACGTGGTAGTAGATATTATGCTTTTCATTGCTTTGTGTTTCTCTTGAAAGTTGGAAAACTGGCCATTTTTGTTTTAAGGTGAAGCTCTGGGTAGGAGCTTTGTGTGTCCTGTGGGGTTACACTGTTGCCGTGTTGGCTCTGAGCACTTAGTTGGACTTTCGATCCTAGTGGGTTACATGTTTAATCTTGTTCATACCAGAAGATTCTGCAGAAATGTGTAGGAACTGGGAATTAAGTTAAAGGGCTATTAACTAGAGTAATTGGGAAGCTGGAAAGACACTTCGAGGTATCCGCAGGGCTAAGCTCCCTCCAAAGCCCCTAGGGAGAGAATCCTTTCTTGCCTTTCCCAAATTCTGATGGCTCCAGAGGTTCCCTGGCTTAGGGCTGCATCACCCTAGTCTCTGCCTGTTTTCTCCTTTTCCTCCCTATGTCTGTGAGGACACCACTATTGGATTTAGGCCCACCTGATAATCCAGGATGATCGCATCTTCAGAGTCTTAATTATTTATATCTGCAAAGCCCCTTTTCACAAATCAGGTCATGTCACAGGTTAGGACGTGGACATGTCTTTTTTGGGGCCACCATTCAACCTAACGCACAACTCAAAGCTCGACCGTCACCTCTGTGTGGTTTTCTCTGATGGCGTTAGGAAGACTTGAATTCTGTGTCCTCATGCCTGTTTCACCTGTGCCATGGTGCTTGTTACCAATATTCACATTTACTTAATTCTGCCTTGTTGTAACGTTAGTTTTTTCTGTCTACACCTCTGTCCCGGGTCATAAGCTCCTCAAAGGCAAGGGTCGTCTTTTTTCTTTTAACCTTTGCATTCGTTTCTGAGGGATGCCATAACAAGGTACCATAAACTGGTGGCTTAAAACAACAGGAAATAGTTCTCCCACAGTTCTGGAGGCCAGAAGTCCAAAATCAGGGTGTCAGGCAGGGCTGTGCTCCCTCTGGTCCCCCCATGGTCCCACTTTGCTTTATCCAGCTTCTGGGAGCTTGACTTGTGGCAGCAAAACTCCAATGCAGTCTTCATCTTCGCATGGCCGTCTGCCCTTGTGTGTCTGCCTCTGTGTCTCTTCTCTTATAAAAGGGCATCAGTTGTAGTGGGTTAAGGGCCTGCCCTGCTCCAGTATGAACTCATCTTGATTAATCTGCAAAGACTATGGCCCCCCAAAAGACAGATAGGTTGAAGTTCTAAATTTCAGTACCTGTGAATGCAATCTTATTTGGAACTATGATTTAACCCATAACATCTTCGTATTCCCCCTTGAAAAAAAGTTGTATCGAGGTACAATTGCAAATAATAAATTGAATATATTTCTTTCTCCAGTTGTATTGAGATAAATGACATACATCACTGTATAATTTAAGGCATATAGCACGATAGTATTTTGCGAAATGACTACCTCAGTTGGTTCAGCTAACATCGTCCTCTCATCTCGAGATAATACAAAGAAAAGAAGGAAAAAAATAGAAAAAAATTTAGAACTCTTAGAATTTACTCCCTTAACAACTTTCCTGTTTACCATGTAGGATATAATACGATGTATAACACTATAATGTTAGCCATAGTATCATGTTGCAGTCCCACTTTATTCTGTCATACTTTTTGCTCAGTTTCAATAACATCTGAACACTGAATGAACAACTCCTTTGTTTTATTTTCAGGATCTGAAGCTTGTTGGAATTAGTCTGCCTAAATATGCAGCTGAACTGGCTGAGAATAGAGGAAAGAATCGCTATAATAATGTTCTGCCCTGTAAGTTGTTTTTCCCACACCATCTTCCCTTTTTTGTCACTGGTCTCTGCAGCGGTAACAGTAGAGGAGAGGGAGTCAAGGTACTAACTAGCCACTTCTACAGCCATTCATTAGTCCCCTCCCGTGTGCCAAGCACTGTATTTTAGCATGTTCTGTTGAATTCATTCTTCATGACAACCTTATGAAATAGGGAAAACAAGGCACAGAGTGGCTAAGTGACTTGTCACGGATAGTCATGGCAGGACCAGGCTTGGACCAGGCCTGTCAGTTTCATTCAGGGACAAGGCCAGAACATGTGCCCTTCACCCTCTGTCACTCAGCCCCTTTATTTCAGTTAACGCAGTTACAGAAAGAAGGGGCAGGAGGAAGACAGGCAGGTAGTGACACTTTCTGCTTGTTCAGACACGTCTCTGGTGGGCTGAGTACATTCCACAGCTAAATATGAATTATATTCGAATTCACTCCTGTGTTTGAGAATTAACAATGTCTGCAGTCTAACCTACAGGCATCACTCGATTAAAATGAGAATTATTTATTACAGCATCCATCGAGACGAAATGTAAACCCTCCTCCATAGAAAGTTCTTTGTTAGTTTCTCTTTTGGGTGGTTATTTGGGTACAGAAAGAGGTTATCAAGGATCGCAACTATGTTTTGATTTAGACAAAATTTATAAGGCTCTACTGATAATTTTTACACCAGAACATTTAGAAACATTGTCTTTTTTATTTGAAGTTGATTTTTCTTTTATGGCCTAAAATGTTAACTTCTGTTAAGATTCGAGGTTTTCTAGCTCCTGGTTCTTTCTCTTTATTTTCCACCCTTGTGTTGACAGTGGACATTGACCCCTGTTCTGTGGACATTGACCCCTATTCTGAGAGAAATGCCCTTCTGGGGTTAACTTAGGATGCTTAGTCTGTTCTCGTGACTGTCTGTGGGGAGTTTCAGATCCAGGGGTCGGGTCTTGTTTTTATTGGAAGAGTTTAGGCTGAAACTCATGTTGGTAACTGGGTTTAGAATTGTTACGTATTTCGTCCAGGGGAGGGTGAGAGACTCTACAGTCAGACAGAGAAGCATAGGTGGTGTTGTTTATAGCTCAGCCTGACATTCGAATCTAAGGATATTATTTCATTTCTCAAACACAAGCTTGAGTATGTGTTTTTGAGATGACAATTTTTAGAAAACACGAGAATTTTGTATTTTAGATCCTCTCATCCATAGTAGTCTTATATAGTCATTTTTTTCTTGAATTTGGTACTGTTATTTTATGGCAACTTTTTTTTTTTTTTTTACGAGAATAGAGAAAATGCGAAAAAGTTAACCTGGGTATCTACCCTATCATGGTAGAAAGGGCACTAGATTTGAATTCTGACTGCCATTCACTGGATGTAAGTGCTGGGGGAAGTCACTTAATCTCCTAGACCCTCAGTTTCCTGATCTGTAAAATGGGCATAAAAGCTTGTAGGTTAGTCTTGAAGAATAAGTAAAATTGCTTAGGGCATTCCCTGGCAAGGCTTACACCCAAGGATGCTGACAGTGGGTTTGTTTCGTCTGAGAAGGTGGCGTGGTGTGGTTGAGAGCTGGGGCCCTGTTGCCAGACTGCCTGAGTTCTCTCCCTGACTGTCACTTGCTAGCTCTGCCGGATGATCACGTAACTTCTCTGTGCCACGGTCATGTAGGGTGACTGTGAGGATTAAATGTGTGTGAAATGCCAACCTGTGCACCGTCAACATGGCAGAAGCCCGTGTTGACATTCTGTAGTCCTTTTTCTCTCTTGTATGCAACTCTCCTCAAACATTTGCTTCTAAAGAGGACCTTTTTTCTTTTAATGCCACAGATGATATTTCTCGTGTCAAACTTTCAGTCCAGACCCATTCAACGGATGACTACATCAATGCCAACTACATGCCTGTAAGTGGAGAGGCGTATTCATGGCTCTGGCTTGTTGGGATGGAGTCTTCAGAGTTCCTCTTTCTGTTTCTTTGATGTTGAGTATGCGTTGCTTGCCATTTTCAGGGCTACCATTCCAAGAGAGATTTTATTGCCACACAAGGACCTTTACCCAACACTTTGAAAGATTTTTGGCGTATGGTTTGGGAGAAAAATGTATACGCCATTGTTATGTTGACCAAATGTGTTGAACAGGGAAGGGTGAGTATCTTTTTAAAAAAACTATTAAATTCATTCATTCATTTTTGCTATGGTGGAAGGGTATCTTAAAAACTACTTGTCTATAATAAAAACAAAATATTCCTCCAAACATTAGCACCTCTATTCTTAGAAACTTGTTTTCTGTCTTTTTCTCCTCTAAGTGAAAAGTTAAAACAAATCTTAAAAACCATCTGTTTTATCATTACCTTCTTTTGTGGATAAATATCAGTGTCTGTTTATGAAGTTGCTGCTGCTGGGGTTGGTTAAAGCAGGAGTCGGGTTAGTGTGTGGAAAATCTGAGCCTGGAGCAAGGCGCTGCTGCTCATTACGAATGTGAATGGGTCCAAGCCCACCTTGTCTCTAAGTAACCAGCTTCTTCATCCGTAATATGGACCACTTGGCCAACTCGACGATTTTCAGACTTGTTTGTTAACACTGGAACCCTTTCTTTACTCAAAATCTCAGACTTATCCTCAGACAATCTCAGCAGTCTCCTCTCCCCTAGGATGGCCTGGAATTTTCCAGCCACTTTCATTAAAGATAAGATTTCCTCTAGTAATAAAAGCCCATGTTTCCATAAACGGATCTGAGGAGAATTGGAAAACACATGCTAGATTCAGAAATTCTGTGCCCGAGGAATAGGATGCGATGTCGCTCTGTGAATTTTTTTCACGTAGGTTTTTCTTCAAAGATTAGGGTAGGACTCGCGTCCCTTAGCCAGTGGTTCCCAAACTTTAACATGCATCAGAATCACATGGGAGTATTTGTCATTCAGAGTCTGTGGTGGGACCTGACAATTCCCAGGAGCTGCTGCTTCTACAGCTCCAGGGTGCACATTTTGAGTAGCACTGTCCTTGGTGATCATGGAAACCTGTCAGGTGTCATTCCTTTTAATGTTTTTTTATTTCACTTTAATTTACCACATGTGTTTCCAGCCCCAGGTATGTGTAAG